AATTCTGCAAATTTGATTATGTATCTTTAGAAAATTCTTAATATTCAGGATATTGAAAGATGTTTCAGAATGTTGCATAGTACTTCTGATCGAAAAACTTCATCTTACTCTGGAATATTAAGAATTTTCTAAAGATACATAACCAATTTTGCAGAATTTCGGCTAGTTTTAGGATAAATCAAGGCATCTGTCAGTTCTAGTCTTCAAAATGACAGCCAGAAAGACAAGTTGCACTTCAGTATCAAAGAACTTGTTGAAAGCAACAACAAAATATTGGCCTTTAATAGGCCAATAAAAACTGACATTTCAAATATTTGTGACCCCTTACAGCCGGATGTTACCAAAAGGCAACATCTCCCTTTTTCTCCCAATGGCGTGCCGAAGAAATTCGGTTTACTGATACAATAGATAAAGTATCCCTAAGCCAAAATTAATCGCTCTTTGACTCAAAAGTAGAATCTATAGGAATCCGAGAAATTAATCATTTCTGTTTGGGCGCTCTTTTGGCACAAAGCAAGAGACCCCAACTATTTCTTTAAGAAAAGGTGTTATTTTTCTTGAGCCTCAATAAAAATGTGCTAAAATGTATGAAAAAAATTATTGAAACGTCAAAATAGCTCTGTGCCACCATTCTCAATCAAATCATAAATAAATACTGATTCTATGTGTCCAAAAGGCAACGTCCGGCGGGAAAGGGTTAAGCTCCCCATACATACTGACTAACCACATACACATACTAGTCACAAGAACTATTTAGTGTATGTCAACTATGTAGTCAATTTGTTATCGGATGGGTGGTCCGAGACAAAACAGCCGTTAGTGACTTGTCCAAGGTCATTCTATGACTGATGGAGCCGAGGTTTAAACACGATATCTTGTGGATATGTGCCAAACATCTTAACCCAAGTGGGAAAGTGCTGGCAACCAGCACCTGTTCAGCACCTCAGCACCTGTTCGACACCTACGGCACCTTCAGCACCTTTAAGCACTGACCCACTATCTTAAATGGTTTTTCAGCAACGTACGGTAAAATTTGGTGTCTAGGCTCTGCTCTTTAAATTTTATCGGAACGTGCTGAAAAACCATTTAAGATAGTGGGTCAGTGCTTAAAGGTGCTGAAGGTGCCGAAGGTGCTGAAGGTGCCGAAGGTGCTGAAGGTGCCGAAGGTGCTCATAGAAAAATGTGCTAAAGGTGTCGAACAGGTACTGAAGGTGCTGAGCAGGTGCTGAGGTGCCAAGGTGCTAGGTGCCAGCACTTCCCCTTGACTTAACCATTCAGACATAGCGGCTCCATTTTTACTGAGGAGATTAAGACATTGCCTAGCATAATTTTCTACAATATTGTGTCAAATTAATGAATCGGTGGAAGTGGAGATAGAAATGAATGAAGAGAAACAGATTAAATGAAACATTGCCAAGTCTTATTTTATGACATATCATCAAAAGCAATTATTGAGATAGAGATTTGCACAACCGCCACAGAGTCATTCAAGGAAATGCCATTGTCTCTCGATTTGTTTCAAAGAAAAACTGGGTATGATGATGTAGATGCTATTTTGAAATATCATCAAAAGTATAGAGGCTAATACTAATTTATACAAAAATAGTAATCTTCGTCATTTAGAGACAATCTCAAAGGGAAACAACTTCTGGTAACATTAGGTTTTTTAAACATAAGATAAAATGCTCGAGACTAGATAGTATATCAATAAATCTTCAATCATATCGTACTATCATAGATCTTTGTGGATAAAATCTTTCAACACAGATCTCTTTATATGTTGAAGATCATAAACGAAAGCGTATTTCTCATTTTAATTTTGAATGCATTTAAATAATTATTTTTCTCGTGTCTGTTAATAATAGCATGCTGAACCGTTAGCTGAAAATTGAAATGAGCTATCTTGAGGGTGTAGGTGTGGATGTACTAGGGCAAGATTCATACCCACACGCATTCCATCTACACTCACACACACATTCACTCACACCTTCACCCTCAGTTGACCAATCAACAGATAAAACATGATCGTCATGCCATTGAAGATCATATAGCGAAACTGTTAGTGAAAGAGTATCCCATAATTTCACTAGTGAGTTATATGAATCCGATACAAATACATATTCAAATTTACGTGAACACATAGTATTTGATACGCATTGAATATGTGATGAAAATTTTGATCGAAATATATATCTTTCTAAAATATCCATGCAAGATATTTCAAAAACCTTGAAGACGTGTCTCATACAGACGAATAAATGGATCAGTAAAATGAAACTAATGAACCATTAAATATTGATATATCAAGACACAGAACAGTTTTTCTTCATTACTAGAAAAACAATAGGTAATATATATTATTTGTTTTTTAAAAAATCTTTTTAACAAGATAACAAATAAAAGTTTGCGTTGGTTGTATTGTATTCATATTCCATAATTTAATAGTTTGATGCCATGAACATGAAACAGGTTCATTTGGAGAATTCCAAACAATTGATGATACATCTTCAATGTGAGCATTTACTGTTAATCTCGAGGCTGTGGGTGCGTGAATGCTGTCTTTCTCTAGATCAATACTTATACTATCACACCCTCACTCACACTCCACACCCTACAGGTGGATGATCAATAAGAAAGAAATGTCTTTTCGCAATATCAAATATAGACTATACTGGATACGGATGAATAGATTGAGTCATATGAAAGGGGTGTGGGTATCAATGTTCGTTGAATTGATTCCCACACCCACACCCACACTTTTTGAGGGTGTGAATTTAAATAATAGCATATCCCGACACGTTTCGACTGAGTCTCGCAATATCATCAGGGTGAGGGTGAGTACAATAATTTAACTACTATGACCGGGTTCGGTCCCTATTAAAGAGATCCTTCATCAGGTGGTATAAAATTTCTGCAGATCTTCAAGTAAATCGAATTCAATAAAAGGCAAAAAAACGAGATTGAACTATTTCTCTCGTATACCTCTTTATCAAATTGAATTCGTCAAATTTATCTTGAGGGTGAGAGTGAGTTTCATTAGAACTTATTCCAAGCTACTTATGGCCATTATTTTGAATGGGGCTTATTCCATTCATCATCAGGTAAATTCAGAATAAAAAACCTGCATTAAATAAATTCTGAAAAATCAAAAGAATAAATTTTTCCAAAGAGTATATCAAATCAATCAATAGACTCTTAAAGAAAATTTCAAACTTGAAATGTGAAAATATAACACTCGCAGAATTTCAATCAAATGGTGAATAGAATGAAGTGGCATTCCACGACAACGGTTGTTTTTGTTTTACCGGGGACTTCTTCAGGTGGATCTCAAAGATATTATAGGATAGGTATGATCAGCAGTCAAGACTAGTTTCATCCTTGCTGAAGGGAATCATCAGTTGACAACTAATCTAAATGATTAAATTAAATTTAAATAAATTTAAAAAATCACAAGATCAATTTATATCTGACTTATATATAGAATTAAAAATAAACTCATATATATAAGTTGATAAATTTAATAAACTGTAGTGTGACCAGCTACCATGATGTGTAGATTTTGTTTCCCATGTTTGTGTGTTCATTTTGTTTTCGAAATTTTTTGTAGAGATATATCTGAAACGAAAAGGAAATTTTAACTTTATTGTAGATTGGATAGGATTAAATTTTGAAGAAATGTGGTATATTTTTAGTTGTTTTATAGGATGTATAAAAAAATTATTGATATGGTTGTTTTTTCGAAATGTTTATGATTATACTTTTATTGCTTCGTGGATTAACCGTGCTGAGTAGAGTAATTTGCTTGTCATTGGTATTCGGTCGATGGAGGCTCGGTGATAGTTGTAGTTTGTTGGTTGTTCATTTTCTTTTTTTCGAATTTACCTAATTAATATTAGTAAAGGAAATGTTTTAAATTTTTCTATAGAAGGGAATGAGATAAATCATGTTGGGTGCTTTCACGCAGGTCCGCCCAGATTTACATCGACCTTCTGCAGGGAAGATGTAATCATGCTAGTTTTGTAGCGCCTATCGAATTGTGTAGGAAACCATATTTTCTGTTTAACGAAATCATGCGCTAAGTCCTACAGATAGGGCTCAAAATTCGATTTTCTATAAATCTCACTCCCTAAACCAAGAAGTTACCGTTTTCGTGAACTCGATTTGAAAATCTTCATCAGACCATTGGATAGAGCATACAAAGTTGTCCATATGCAATATTTTTCGGGTGTGTACATAAAAATCTCGAAGCACCAGTGTACGTCCAAAAACTAGAAAAATGCGATTTTTGCTAAAATCGAGTACTCTAGAAAACCTACACGTGGGGATAGAAACCATGATTTGTTAGAAACAAAATGAAGCTTAGGTAATACTAGTTCGAAATAGTTGGATTAAATTTTCAGAATATATTCCTTAATTAAGATATCGGACTTTCAAAAACCAAGGATTTCTAAAAACCTCATGTTGGGCCTTCATTTTCTCGAGAACTACACGCCAGGATTCATTCAAATTTTTTTTATAAGCAGCCCTCAGTGAGTGCTACCTCTGCCAAGAATATCAGTTCCTCCATCGTGGAATTACAAAAATTATGATGCCTACAATTTCTTAAAATTCGCAATGTTAAGTCTTACGATTTTTCAATTATAGTTCTGAAAATCATCATTTTAATGATGCGTATAAGGTAAATTTTTATGCACAATCCAAATAAACGCATAGTTACAGCCCGTTGATAGCAGAGATTTCTAATATATAGAAAACTAAGTGAAAAACCGTACAAAAACACAGTTTTTTTGAGGACTTTTGCTTCTTCTCTAGTGTTTACCTTATATTGAATCTATCGGATAACGAAACTTGGTAATAGCTGTGCATGCTGATCCAAATATGGAATATCGGTGCTTACGTAGGAAAATATTTCAGTAAACATTCAGGGAAAAGGTTTTGTATTTCATCGCATAGAGGTTGTGCAATTGTGTAGCTGTAGCTTTCACCAATTTTGGGATGTTAGCAAAAATTTTTTATCACTTTCCAATTCAGCATTGAGTGCGTATGGTCAAACAGGAAACTGAAATGAAGTTCAGAATCGGGGTGGATGTAGTGATGACACATGTAGTTCTGTCAAGTTAGCTTCCACACCTTGGACAATTGCTAATCGTCAGTCATCTTGGCATTAGACACCAATATAATTAATAACGTTATCATCATTCATTGTCAAGAATAAAAATTTTGTTTTTCTTCAGTATAGACCATTACATATTCAAAAATACTGAAAAAACTGACGTACTGCTCGAAACATCAATGCTTACCTAGGGTATCGGTGTGGGGTGTGGGTGTGGGTATCAATGTTCGTTGAATTGATTCCCACACCCACACCCAAATCGAAAAACAAAGTAAGAAAATATTCATTTTCAATTTCATCGAAAACTGTTCAATCTCAATCAATAGCTATCAAATTGAATTCAATAAATTGTAAAAAAGAATCATCGGAAAGTAAACGGAAAAAAACGAATTCTAGATTCCAAAAATCGGAATCTTTTGAATGTGATAAAAATTTACAAACAAGAACAAAATCCATTTCGTCGATGTTACGCGAAGCGTCTGAACAAAATTCTTCAAATTTTCGTCGGCAATTCTATCAAACAAATCGTGATTCAATTAAATTTTCTCTCAAAGGTCATCCTCATATCAAAATAACCAATATTCGTCTTGCACATGCGAATGAATCAGTTCAAAAGGATTTTATGAAAACATTCAAAAAAGAATCTTCACATTCTCCACAATTAGTTACCATGGCACAAAATCAGATAATATTGGAAGCATTCTTCAATATGGATTTTTAATTCCAGCAATTCCACATGCAACTAATACAAAAGCACCTACAATTAAAGTAATAAATGGTGCGCGCTTATGGTACAGGAGTTTATTGCAGTTATACAGCTGATTATTCTTTTAGTTACTCGAGAAAAACGAATAATCTATTAGCATGTGCAGCCATACCACAACAGGACGAAAATGGATATATTCAACATCGTTATGGAAATATTTTAGTTTTACCGACGGTATCACGAATAATACCGTTATTTTTAGTGGATTTTGAGTATCAAAATAGATCCGAGTTGAATTATCCTTGGTTTCAGCAACAACCATTGGATGAATATGATGAAAGAAAACAAAGAACTGTTTGTTTAAGAAAATATTTTCAGAAAATCTTAAATTACATGAATGATCAACAACGAAATAACAATCGATATCAATCACGAATATTTGGTCTACATGAGTAGCACATATCTTTCTTTTATTATTCAGTTGAATGTAATAAAAGTCTACAGAACAAGCGATATAATAGTATGATTTTTCTGATCTCATATTACGATCATTCTTTTATACATATTAGTTTATGTTTATATAACTGCCAATCCATAGTTTGACATTCTTTTGTGCAATAACGTGCTTGTTTACAATTACCGCAAATATATGATGCATTTGCTCTTCCACAGCATCGGCACATATTAACTACATATTCTGATTCACTTTGCATCATAATTGATGAGAATTCATCAATACCAATTACTGGTTTCTTGTCACTTGCATCTATTCGTAGATATGGATTGATAATATTCATTTTAGTTCCAATTCGAAATACTTTTTTTATTAAATATTCTCCTTGATCTTTAGGAAAATCATAGATACATAATTTTTTGCAATCGAGATGTTCATCTTCTGTCATCAACTGGATTGATGGCGCCCATGAATATGCTTCTCCGATAATAGTCACAGACAATACATATCGTTCATAGACATGATCTTTTACTGGATCTATATCTCGAAATGTAATTGATTTTAATCCAGCTAAGGATTTAGTTGTTCGTTGAGAAATTCGGGCTTTATAAGTAAAAGGTATTGAAATAAGACCTGGTTTGTTTTTCGCTTTTAACAACTGATTTTGGCATTGACGTTGTTCTACTATAACTTCAATTCGAACTGGATCTTTTAGTCGTGCTTTATTATCAATATGAAGAGTAGATATTTTTATTTTGATCCAAGATACCATCTCAAGCTCAAGTTTAGTGGGAGTTTTAATGCTGGGATCATAAGGTAAAAAGCATGGTAATTGCAGCTTTTCTGCTTCTTCGCCCTTTTGATACATTTTTGTAGCATTTTCTAAACTTTGGTCGTTTTTGCTCATAAGATAACACATAGCCATTGCATAATATGAATCAGGTACTTTTCGGTGGTCTTTAGGTGCAATAGCGAGAAATGCGCGATATGCTTCGATGGCTTCATCCATATCCTTTTCGAGAAAACGTAATGCACCAGCTTTATCATATAGTAACTGACAATAATTTTGATCTATTTCTAATCCAAGATTAGCTTCATATAAAGTGTCGTCATACTGTCGTAAGAAACCGTTCATTGAGGCGCTTAATTCGAAAAAATATATTGATTTCGGATACTTTTGTTTACATAAACTAAGAAAGTTAATAACCAATGTAGGCGAATCCATATTTAATCCTGCAAAACATGTTCGAGTGTCTTCGTCAAGCTGTGAGACAGTAGTATTACATCGGCGAAGAACGCGATCTACAAGGTCTTTAAGCTTATTACGTATCTCTATACTTGGATACCGAGCAACTATATGTTCAATGCGATGACATTGTGAAAGATTGTGCATAATCAGATTCTCTTCATCTTTCGTCAATGTATCGTTCTGCGTGAATGTATATAATGCTTCTGAAAAATGTTCCAAAGCATCACACATAATTCTTGCTGTTTTCGAACCACAGTTGGCATGTTCAAGTAACATACGGTAATCATAGAAATCGGATCCATCCATTGCTGTCGATGCGGATGTAGTTGTCTTCAATGAACTGAAAATTTCAAATATTTTATCCATCATCGGCAATGTATCTGGCGAAAAACTTCTAATAATATTATGTTTTGCTTGTACGTCTTCTTTGAATCCACGATCGGATTGGGCAACTATATGACCTGCTTTACATGCTCGATCGTACCATACTTTTGCCATTGGAAGCTTAGCTCTACGAGTAAGTAATGTTGCTAAATTATACATAGCATTTGAATCACCTTGTTCAGCTGCCTGTTCAAATATTTGTTCAGCTTTGTCAAGATCTAATATGACACCACTGCCATTTTCATATAATAAAGCCAAACTATTACCTGATTGAACATTCCCATGTTTAAAAGCCCTTTGGTACCAACATGCTGCAATTCCTAGATTTTTATTAACGACGACACCTTCAGCATATCGAACACCTAAAGCATGTTCAGCTTCCGCTACACCGTTATTCCGAATATTGTATAGTTCTGAATGATACGGTGGTTCTGCAGCTGCTTGTTCATAAAGATTTTGAGCTATATTATGATCTTTCTTCACACCTAGCCCATGCTCGCTTAATCGAGCTAAATTATACATTCCTTCAGCATTGCCTTGTCTTGCTGCTTTTTCGAAATATCGAGCGGCTTCTTCATAATTCTGTTTAACATCATTATCTCCATGTTCGTATTTGTATCCTTTTTCGACATCGGCTAGTGATGGGTTCTTCTCTCGAAATAACTTATAAGTTTTGCACACTGCTTCTGAATTCAAACCGAATTTCTGTTGTTTGTCATTCAATTGTTCAAGTATTGATTTTGGTTTCGATTCAGGATCAAGATGCTCTTGTCGTTGTTGTCGGCCAAGTATATGATGACTTTCATCCAATGCTTTCTTTATGTCATCGTTCGTTGGTGCAAGAGCCAGTGCTCGTTCAAATGAATTAATCGCTTTTTCATGTTCATTCAAGGCAGTATATACTTTTCCAACACGCAAATGTCCTTTCCACCATGTTGACCGAAGAATTCGGGCTTGTTTAGCATCTTGCAGTGCGCGATATCGTTGATCATTTGGATCATCAATTTCAACTCTTCCGGTGGAACATGATTGCTTTTCATACAGTGCAAGACGACTAGAAGCCATATTGGAAAAGAAAATAGCACGGTCATGGTCTGCAACACCCGGTAAAAGTGTTGCTTTTGTAAATAATGTGATACCTTCGGAAAATTTTCCATCTTTATGGGCTTGGGTGGCAAGTGAGTTCAAATGTGATGCTTCTTTCACGCTGTCTTCATTAATTATTTGAGTAGGTGATTCGAAAATACTGTCATCCTTTAGTTTATCTAATTCAGTGTTTACATCACCGAGTGCAATTAGAATTGCCGTTAAATCAGTCCATAGTTGATTGAATTGTAGATCATCAACAGATTTTGTTGTATTATGAGCTAATTTATTTCGAATATCTCTCAGTTGCTCGACAAGTGCATTTTCCTGGTCGAGTTGTTGAATTTCAGCTGCATTTAGCGTTTTGGGGTGGTCGCTATTTAATAGAAGAGCAGTTAGTGTAGTTACATCCCATTCATCTGAGTTTCCACTAGAAACAGATGTCTTCTGCACTGCTGTTAAACTTATCTGTTTATTTTTTACAATGACATTGGTGAAGTAACTATTCCCACACGCCGATGTATCATTCCATGTTTGGCCACTGTTAAATTGAGAATAACGATTCTTAAATAAGTGACGAAGTAGAGCACATGAACGTGTCAGCAAGAGTTCCAATTTGAAATAATTACGAACATCAGATGAAATGTTGGCCATGGTAGAAATACTCTGATGAATTTGAATATAAAATTTCTATTGAAAGAGTAACCTATATGCAACTAGTGCACTGCATTCTGTAAAACTCGACGTGGTATTATGTAACTGATTTACTGTTTAAGGAAAATTGTCTTAGTATGATATCTGAATCGCCTTGTACTATTAAGTATTGGTTTCTATATACGAAAGCGAATGAAATTACAAGAAGCATACAAAGCATCAACACTTACCTTTTTCGTCTATTTATTTCTATATTGTCTGACGTGCGAAAGAAAATAAGAAAGTTCCACACACACACACGTGGACAAAGCCACTTTTTTCTGTTTCGTTTCTCTTCCAAGTGTCGTTCTTTACAAAGGCCACGCTTTTAATGCAAACGTATTCGAAGAACATCATAGAAATAATTGTATCCCACGGAAGTAAAAACTAAAGAAAAAATTTAAAAAAATAAAATTCTCTATCTCGTGCGCGAAACTCTTTGCTACTTGTGTAATGAAGTGTTTGCGCCAAGGGGGGAAAAGCGGATTTGGGATTTTCTTCGGATTCCGGGATTTTTTTGGGATCCCCGGGATTTTCATGGGATTTTCTGGATCCCATCTTACTCAAAATCCACAATTTTTTTTCTAGATTACCTATAGTTTTGA